GTTGGACTGGATGACCCTTGGTGGTCTCTTCCAACTCTATGATTCTATGATTCTTTTCTTGTCATTTGAATCAGGGATGGACAAAGCCCTCCAGATGTTGCTGGACTGTAAATCCCAGCATCACTCACCTCTGGCTTTGCTAATGAGAATTGCAATCCAGCAATTTCTAAATGGCCACACTTTGCATACTCCGAAACCAGCCAACTATTGGCGGGGGGGATTTTCTGCTCCTATTTCTCCTAATTCTTGGAGTCAGCTACACAAGTATGGGATGATTGGAGTTGTAGTCCAACACATCTGGGGGACTCTAGGTTGGAGGAGGTTGAACTAAAGGACTCCTGTGTGAAGCACAGAGCTGGAAAAAGTTACTTCTGGGGAAGGACACACTTTCTACAATACTCCCAGCTAGCATGGACATGCTGGGTGGAGGATGCTGAGATTTACAGTCACCAAAAAAGTAACTTTCCCAAGCTTTAGGGGAAACAGCAAGGAAACACAGCATGGCTGTAAATTAGCGTATCTTCCCATGCAAACTATTTCTCTCTCACTGTTTTCAGGAGATTCTCTCTTTAGCTGTAATCTTGCAATAGGTAAAATGTTATTGCCTGGTTTATCTGCAATGCAGCATCCGCTGCTTCTTCCAAGCTCTGTTTGGATACCAAGCAATTCTGTCACCTCTTTCTCCTTGAAGGGTCTCATTTAATACCTTGGTGATATATATATTATTTTTAATATAAAGCCTTTGACTACATACATAGATCACAAAAAGCTGTGGCTTGCTCTTAGAGGAATGGGAGTGCCGCGACATTTGGTTGTCTTTATGCATAACCTCTACTCAGGACAAGAGGAGACTGCAAATAGAACAGAAGACGGAGAAACAGAATGGCTCCCAATTGGGAAAGGGGTCAGGCAAGGCTGCTTTCTGTCACCATATTAGTTCAACCTGTTTGCAAAAAATATCGTATGCAGAGCAGGCTGAGACTCAGAAGAAGGAGGAGTAGAGACCGGAGGAAGGAACATCAACAATCTAAGATATGCAGACGACACCATATTAATAGCA